CCAAATGGGGGAAATTTCAATCCCAAATGGGGAAAAATTTGATTTTCTTTTCAGTCCCAAATGGGGGAAATTTCAATCCCAAATGGGGAAAAATTCGATTTTCTTTTCAGTCACAAATGGGGGAAAATTTCAATTTTCCTTTTCCCAAATGGAGAAAAGTTCAATTTTCATTTCAATCCCAAATGGGGAAAAGTTCAATTTTCTTTTCAATCCCAAAAGGGGAAAACTTCAAATTTTCATTTCAATCCCAAATGGGGAAAAGTTCAATCCCAAATGGGGAAAAGTTAAATATTCTTTTCAATCCCAAATGGGGAAAAGTTAAATTTTAATTTCAATCCGAAATGGGGGAAAGTTCAATTTTCCTTTTCCCAAATAGAGAAAAGTTCAATTTTCCTTTCAAACCCAAATGGGGGAAATTCCAATTTTCCTTTCAATCCAAAATGGGGAAAAGTTCAATCCCAAATGGGGAAAAGTTAAATTTTCTTTTCAATCCCAAATGGGGAAAAGTTCAATTTTCCTTTTCCCAAATGGAGAAAAGTTCAATTTTCTTTTCAATCCCCAATGGGGAAAAGTTCAATTTTCCTTTTCACCAGATTTCCAGGAAATTCAGTTTTAAACCAATTTTGGGCTGCTGCTGAGTTTAAAACCCAATTTCCAAATTTCTAAATCATTTTGGATCCATTTTCCAAGGATTTCCCCATCCCAGTCCTGGTTTTATCCCATTTTTCCCTACAATTTTCCCATTTTTCTCTACAATTTTCCCGTTTTTTGCTACCATTTTCCCCATTTTCTTGCTGTTTTCAAAATTTTCTCTACAATTTTCCCCAATTTTTGCTACCATTTTCTACTACCATTTTTCCCATTTTTCACTAACATTTTTCCCTTTTTTTCCTCTACCATTTTTCTCATTTTTTTGCCACCATTTTCCCCATTTTTCACTACCATTTTTCCCTTTTTCTGCCACTGTTTTTCCCCTTTTTTGCTACCATTTTCCCATATTTTGCTACCATTTTCCCCATTTTTCTCTACTATTTTTCCCTTTTTTTCACTACTATTTTTCTCATTTTTCGCTACCATTTTCCTCATTTTTTGCCACCATTTTCCCATTTTTCTCGACCATCACGCTTCAGACAGATCAGAAAGAGACATTAACCCTTTTTAAGAAAAAAAAAAGAAAATAAATCCATGTACAGCAACAAACAAAAACCCTCCTAGAACAGGTGGGGTTAAATTCTCCCAACTGGATTCAATAAATCATTCTTTTATATTATTAAAAATATCTTCTATATTCAATATCTTGTTCAATATATTATTCAATAGATAAAAATATCTTCTATAATCAAGAAATAAAATTCTTCTATATTTTTAATAGAAAAAAATATAGAATAAGTATTAAAATATAAAAAGAAAAAATTAAAATGTTTTATAATAAATAAATAAAATTATATAAATATAATTATCAAATAAATAAATAACCAAATAAATCAATCAAATAACTAAAAAGCCTGTGTGGGCCTTTAATAAATAATCAAATAAGAAACAATCAAATAAAATAATCAAATAAATAATTAAATAAATCAAATAAATCAATAAATAATCACAAGAAATCAAAAGGCTGTTTGAGCCTTTAATAAAGCATCAAATATTAAATAACCAAATAATAAATAACCAAATAATAAAAATCAAACAAAAATATCCAAATAATAAATAACCATATAATAAATAATCAAACAAAAATAGCTAAATAATAAATAACAAAATAAAAATAATGAAATAAAAATAACCAAATAATAAATAACAAAATAATAATTTAATAAAAATAACCAAATAATAAATAATTTTTTCAATAACCAAACAATAAATAAATGAAAAATAACAAAATAATAAATAATTTTTGAGGATTATCCCTGAGGATTTCCAAGAAAAGGCAAAGCAGGTGCCGGGGTCAGCAAAGGGAATCCCAAATTGCAGAAAATCAAAATTCTGAATTATCACCCAGGGAAATCTCCAAAATTCCAGATTCCTGAAAATCAAAATTCTGAATTATCGCCCAGGGAAATCTCCAAAATTCCAGATTCCTGAAAATCAAAATTCTGAATTATCGCCCAGGGAAATCTCCAAATTCCAGATTCCTGAAAATCAAAATCTGAATTATCACCCAGTGAAAACTGGAATGAGACTGGAATTGAACTGGAATGAAGCTGGAATAAAACTGGAATTAAACTGGAATGAAGCTGGAATAAAACTGGAATAAAACTAGAATTAAACTGGAATTGATCTGGAGTTGACCCGGAATGCAACTGGAATAAAACTGGAATAAAACTGGAATTGAACTTGAACTGAACTGGAATTGAACTGGAATTAAACTGGAATTGAACTGGAATTGAACTGGAATAAAACTGGAATGAAACTGGAATGAAACTGGAAATAAACCCAGCTTTCCCATGGGAACACCTCCAAGCACAGGAAAATGTCCAAAAAATTCCATTTTCAGCAGGACAAAAGAGCAAAACCCCAAAGCTGCACAGGAACCCCCAAGGGCTGAAGGTTTCATCCCGGATTTTTCCTGGATTTGGGAACTCCCAGACTTTGGGATTATTAAATTGTGCCTCAGTGGGATCAGAGCAGGAAATCCCAAGGGCTGAAGGTTTCATCCCGGATTTTTCCTGGATTTGGGAACTCACGGATATTTTGGGATTGTTAAATTGTGCCTCAGTGGGATCAGAGCAGGAAATCCCAAGGCCTGAAGATTTAATCCTGGATTTGGGAAGTCACAGATATTTTGGGATTGTTAAATCTGTGCCCCGGGGTGATCAGAGCAGGAAATCCCAAGGGCTGAAGGTTTTATCCTGGATTTTTCCCGAATTTGGGAACTCACAGATATTTGGGATTGTGCCCCAATGGGACCAGAGCAGGAAACCACCAAGGGTTGAAGGTTTCATCCCGGATTTTTCCTGGATTTGGGAGCTCCCAGCCTTTGGGATTGTTAAATTGTGCCCCAGAGGACCAGAGCAGGAAATCCCAAGGGCTGAAGGTTTAATCCTGGATTTGGGAACTCACGGATATTTGGGATTGTGCCCCAATTGGACCAGAGCAGGAATCCCCAAAGGCTGAAGGTTTTATCCCAGATTTGGGAACTCCCAGCCTTTGGGATTGTTAAATTTTGCCCCAGGGTGATCAGAGCAGGAAATCCCATTTTATCCTGGATTTGGGAACTCACAGATATTTTGGGATTGTTAAATTTTGCCCCAGGGGATCAGAGCAGGGATCCCCAAGGACTGAAGGTTTAATCCCGGATTTTTCCTGGATTTGGGAGCTCCCAGCCTTTGGGATTATTAAATTTCTCCCCGGGGTGATCAGAGCAGGGATCTCCCAGGCCTGAAGGTTTTATCCTGGATTTGGGAGCTCCCAGCCTTTGGGATTGTTAAATTTTGCCCCGGGGTGATCAGAGCAGGAAACCACCAAGGCCTGAAGGTTTCATCCCGGATTTTTCCCGGATTTGGGAGCTCCCAGCCTTTGGGATTGTTAAATTGTGCCCCAGAGGACCAGAGCAGGAACTCCCACGGGTTGAAGGTTTTATCCTGGATTTGGGAGCTCCCAGCCTTTGGGATTATTAAATTTCACCCCAGAGGACCAGAGCAGGGACCCCATCAGAAGAAGGAGCCGAGGATACGTACAGCCACGATGAGGAAGTCCAGCCAGCACCAGGCGTTGGTGAAGAACTTGACGAAGCCGTAGGCGCACCACTTGAGCAGCATCTCCAGGATGAAGATGTAGGTGAAGACCTTGTCGGCGTACTCCAGGATGGTCCTGATGGTTTTCCTCTGCTCGATGTAGATGTCCTCAAAAGCCTGCGGAAGCACCAGGTGGAAGTGCCACCATGTGGGGTTTATTTGTGTAGAGCTGACATAGGAGTTATTTTTGTTTGTTTGTTTATTATAACGGTAATTTTTATTGATTTATTGGTATTTTTATGTGTTCTATTATGTATATTATATCTAGTATATAATTATAATAGATATAAGATATATTCTATAATATATAATAAATTATATATAATAAATTATATATAATAAATTATAATAATATATTATAATCATATACTATACTATAATAAAATATAATAAAATATAATAAAATATAATAAAATACAATATACTACAATATTATAATATAATATATAATATATTATATATAATGAATTATAATAATATGCTATAATCATATACTATACTATAATAAAATATAATAAACTACAATATACTAATGTAATGTAATGTAATGTAATGTAATGTAATGCAATGTAATGTAATGTAAGGTAATGTAATGTAAGATAAGCTTTTGTATTTTTGTACTTGGGTAGGAATTTCCTCAGTTTACCTTTTCCCCAAAATTTCCTGTATACACTCAAATATCCCCTGAACTACACATATTTTACTCCACCCCTAAACTCCATATACTTTACTCCACCAATGAACTACACAGATTTTACTCCACCCCTAAACTACACATATTTTATTCCACCTCTGAACAACACGTATTTTATTCCACCAATGAACTACACAGATTTTATTCCACCCCTAAACTATACATATTTTACTCCACCCTGAACTACACATATTTTACTCCACCTATACACTACACATATTTTACTCCACCTCTAAACTACACATATTTTACTCCACCAATGAACTACACAGATTTTACTTCATCTCTGAACTACACATATTTTACTCCACCAATTAACTATACATATTTTACTCCACCTCTGCACTACACATATTTTACTCCACCAATGAACTACACAGATTTTATTCCACCCCTAAACTATACATATTTTACTCCACCCTGAACTACACATATTTTACTCCACCTTTGAGCTACACATATTTTACTCCACCAATGAACTACATACTTTACTCCACCAATGAACTACACATATTTTACTCCACCCCTGAACAACACAAATTTTACTCCACCCCTAAACTATACATATTTTACTCCACCCTCTGAGCTACACATATTTTACTCCACCAATGAACTACACATATTTTGCTCCACTTCTGAACGACACATATTTTACTCCACCCCTAAACTATACATATTTTACTCCACCCCTGAACTCCACAGATTTTACTCCCCCTCTGCACTACACGTATTTTACTCCGCCCCTGAACTATACATATTTTACTCCACCAATGAACTACATACTTTACTCCACCAATGAACTACACATATTTTACTCCACCCCTAAACTATACATATTTTACTCCACCCCTGAACTCCACATATTTTACTCCCCCTCTGCACTACACGTATTTTACTCCGCCCCTGAACTCCACGCTTTCCTCACCAGAGCCCCGCTGCTCAGCAGGATCATGAAGATGATGAAGGTCTCGAACCAGTTGTGCTCCACGATGAGGAAGCACGTTTTCCTCAAGGTCCACCACGACTTCCCCAGCCCCTCCTCGATGTTCACCTGGCAGCACTTGCAGCGCTGCATGCAACCTGCAACAGGGACAGCTCCGCTCAGAAAACACAGATTTGGGGTAAAAAACATTAAATTCTCACTGTCAGAAGAAGCTTTGAGGTCACCAAGGTGAACCATGATGAGTAAATTCAAATTTTTGTGTTCTGGAGGATTTTGGGGTTGTTTTGCCACTTCTGTCCAGAATGAAAATCAGTTTGGGAACAGCTCAGGTCCTTCTGTTTGGTGAGGTCCACTCTCTTGAGGACACAAAATGGAAAAATTGCTGATAAAATAGAATAAAATAAAAAACCTTGAACCATTTAAAACATCTTTGCCTTGGGAATTCCTGTGGTGGATCAGCACCAAGACACCGAGGCCAGCTGCAACACATGCAACCTGCAACAGGGACAGCTCCGCTCAGAAAACACAGATTTTGGGTACAAAACATTAAATTCTCACTGTCAGAACAAGTTTTGAGGTCACCAAGGTGAACCATGATGAGTCAGTTTGAATTTGAATTAAAATTTTTGCATTCTGGAGGATTTTGGGGTTGTTTTGCCACTTCTGTCCAGAATTCAAATCAATTTGGGCACCAGAATTAACATCAGCTCCTTCTGTTTGGTGAGGTCCACGCTCTTGAGGACACAAAATGGAAAAATTGCTGATAAAATAGAATAAAATAAAAAACCTTGAACCATTTAAAACATCTTTGCCTTGGGAATTCCTGTGGTGGATCAGCACCAAGACACCGAGGCCAGCTGCAGGGAAGGAAAATTACTCTGCTCCTGAGGACTTAAGGCATCAGCTGCACTAAAAATCCTCGTTTTTTTTACCACCAAAAAATCCTCATTTTACCACAGAAAATCCTCTTGTTTTACCACAAAAATCCTCTTGTTTTACCACAAAAATCCTCTTGTTTTACCACAAAAAATCCTCTTGTTTTACCTCTGATTCTTCAGAAATTCCCCCCGTGGGGCTGGGGAGGTCCTGGCATGGGTGGCCCAGGGAAGTTCTGGGTGGGCCTGGATCCCTGGAATGAGCCCGCACATTTTGGGGACATTTTGGGGACATTTTTGGGGACCATGGCACCCCAAAAATCTCTTCCTCCACCCCATCCTCACCTTCTGTGAAACAGGCATCGGGGTCCAGGTACTCCTCCGGGGCCTCCACGGGCACCTCTTCCACCTCAGGCTTGATGTCGATGGTGCTGCCCTCGGAGGAGCTGCTCTCGTCCAGCTTCTGCAGCACAAAATATCAATTATCAAACCCCAAAAAATACCAAATTCACCATGAAAAAATAACAGAACCAAAATAAATACCAAGATATCCAACTTCAGTTGTCACGGAAGTTGTTTCCAACCCAATTAATAGTAAATATCAAACCCCAAAAATACCAAATTCATGATGGGTCAGCTGCCATGGAAGTTGTTTCCAACCCAATCAATACCAAATATCAAACCCCAAAAATACCAAATTCATTATGAAAAAATAACAGAACCAAAATAAATACCAAGATATCCACCTTCAGCTGTCACAGAAGTTGTTTCCAACCCAATTAATAGCAAATATCAAACCCCAAAAATACCAAATTCATTATGAAAAAATAACAGAACCAAAATAAATACCAAAATACCAAATTCACGATGAAAAAATAACAGAACCAAAATAAATACCAAGATATCCACCTTCAGCTGTCACGGAAGTTGTTTCCAACCCAATCAATATCAAATATCAAACCCCAAAAATACCAAATTCACGATGAAAAAATAACAAAACCAAAATACCAAACTTCAGCTGTTGTGGAAGTTGTTTCCAATCCAATCAACAGCAAATATTAAACCCAAAAAATACCAAAATACCCAAATAATACCAAATTCACGATGGCTCAGGTGTCATGGAATTTGTTTCCAACCCAATCAATGTCAAATATCAAACCCCTGAAAATACCAAATTCATGATGAATAAATACCAAAAACCAAAATAAATACCAGAATACCAAATTCATGATTAATAAATACCAAAACCAAAATAAACACCAAAATACCAAATTCACTATGAATAAATACCAAAACCAAAACAAATACCAAAATATCAAATCAATGATGAATAAATACCAAAACCAAAATAAAAACCAAACTTCAGCTGTCATGGAAGTTGTTTCCTCACTTTAATCACGGAGATCTTGACCCAGCTGATGTCTCGCATTAACAGGACAGGTGGGATTAAATATTAAATTAAATATTTTAATTATGAAAATTAAAAGCCCCCTGTCCATGGAGGGGCTTGCAACTGGATGATCTTTAAGATCCTTTCAACCCAGGCCATTCTATGATTATATATTTTTATTTTATTATATATTATGTTCTACGATTATATATATTTATTCTATATATTATATTCTATGATTATATATATTAATTTTATTATATTATCTATATTTATATAATCATTCTATGATTATATATCTTTATTTTGTTACATATTGTATTCTATGATTACATATATTTTATTATAGTACCTCTATTTATCTAATAATTCTTTGATTATATATCTTTATTTTATTATATATTATATTCTATGATAACATATAATTTATTGTAGTATCTACATTTATATAATCATTCTATGATTGTATATCTCTTTTTTATTATATATTGTATTCTATGATTATATATATTTATTTTATTATAGTATCTATATTTATTTATATAGTATCTATATATAGTATCTATATATTTATCTAATCTATGATTATATATCTTAATATTATTATATATTATATTCTATGATTATATATCTTTATTTTATTATAGTAATTATATTACTATAATAATTATAGCATACATAATAGTATACTATATTACTATATTACTATATGACTATATTACTATAATATAGTAATATTATAGTAATATTTATATAATATATAAATATTATATATTTATTATCTACATTTATATAACATTCTAAGATTATATTTATATAATATATAAATATTATATATTTATTATCTACATTTATATAACATTCTAAGATTATATATCTTTATTCTATGCATATTTTTATTATATAAACATTTGCAGCTTTCTACAGAGCACAAGAAATTCCCCTTTGAGCGCCAACACAACATCCCAACCCAACCCAAAATTTAACACTGGAGCCACCCGGCTCTCCCTGCCACGACGTTTCCAGGCGTTAATGAATTAAATTAAATTAGATTAATTAGCTCCCGGCCCCACCTCCTTGCTGCCGTCGGGGTCGGTGTCGCTGCTGAAATCCTCCGTGTGGAGGTTCTCGAAGTCGGACTCGCCCACGGCGATGGGGACGCGCACGGTCAGGTTGGGGTTGTTGATGAAGGACATGTGGTCCTCGTCGATGATGTACTTCTCCACGCTGCTCCCGATGCCGCTGGTGGTGCCGTTGCCGTTCTTCAGGAAGTCGACGTCGCGGTTGATGTCGGCGCCGGTGTGGTTGGCGATGCAGTTGACCTTCTTGTCGTAGAGCTCGTCCAAGGGCTTCACCTCGTCGGCCTCCCTCTGCTTGAAGTGGGCCTGCATGAACTCCCGGACCTTGGCCTTGGTCCAGGCGATGCCCTTCTTGATGCGGATCACCGAGATCTGCAGGTTGTTCATCTCGCCGTCGTCGTCCGTGGCCGCCAGGTTGTCGGCGCTGAAGGAGCTCAGCAGCAAGGCCAAGAACAGGTTCAGCACCTGGAAGGGAAGAGCTGATGCTGGGCTGACACACGAGGGGCAATTCCCAAAGCTCTCAAACCCTGCTGAGATGACTCCAAAACCGGCTCTGCTGTCCCACAAACCCATCCTGGTGCCCAGTTCAAGGTGTGACCTCCTGATGCTGCCAAACCCTGCTGAGATGTCTCCAAAACCAGTTCTGCTGTCCCACAAACCCATCCTGGTGCCCACATTCAAGGTGTGACCCCCTGATGTGTGGCAAGCACATTTCTCTCCTTCTCAGGATTTTCATAGAGGTGCACAGAGAGAAATGAAATAAATCCATTTCTATTTCTGCTCCTTGTTTTTTCCATGTGGAATGTGTTTGGAGAATTGTTTACCTGGGGTGATGGCTTGGTTGGATTCTGATGAGGATTGTTTGGGCCTGGTGGCCAATCCAGTCCAATCCAGTCCAATCCAGTCCAATCCAATCCAATCCAATCCAATCCAATCCAATCCAATCCAATCCAATCCAATCCAATCCAA